TGCGTTGTATGAAAAATTTTGTTGCTCCGTATAAATTTTTTAATCAAGCCACCCCCCCCCCTCCGGTCAAAGGTGTCCCTCTTTACCAATCTGAAAATCTGGTCACCTTAGTCATGACCAGAGGTTCTACTGTATCTTGATTTTTAGTCAGATTACTAAAGGTAATAAAGGCATTATCATCTATGAAATCATCCCATTAACCATATTAATTACCACAAAAATTATTCAATGTTTTTCATAAAAAACATTTTATAAAAAGCTTTTTAAAAATATATATTTAAAAGTTTGAAGAATTTTTTTTATAAACAGATTGTGCTTATATGATCATATTTCACTTTTTTATGCCTTACAGATCTGCAAAGGCCATAAATGCAAGGATTGGTCAAAAGTTATTTTTCATCACCATGATAATTTGAATGATCATTGTATGAGGCAGTAAATAAGGACTAACCGTATTTAATAATTCTGATACACTAAATTATAATTTTAAATATTTTGGCTGTATCACACAACACTGAGTCAAGCATAACAAAGGAAGAAATTAATATATTTTACATAATACAGTTTTTACTAAGTTTACACACAATATAGCTTCTTATTTAGTTATATCTCTCTTTCTCTCCAAAATAAATCAGTACTATTAAATCTAGGAAAACCAAAAATGGTTTCTAATACAAATGGTTAACCTTAAACTATTGTAGCCTATATTATTATTTTAAAGTTTATACTTCTTTGTGCTTATCCATACTGTTTTTACCAGTTATCCCTGTTTTTTAAGCATAGATATATTTACTATAGCATGTCTGATACATTTTACCTTAGGGTATTATTAACATTATATTTTCAAAAAACACAATTTCAGTTTTTTAAAATTCCATATCTTAATTTAAATCCAAGTTAAATTTCAAGACATTAAAATTAACTACTGTAGATTGCATGATGATCTAACATATATTTTCTTAACTTGGCATTTTCTATGTTTTGGAAAACGAAGATTTATGATAGTTAAAAATCATGTTAGCTAAACATGTAGCCTAACAATTTAGAAAAAAATTGATTTGAGTTGTCCTAAAATATCCTATATGCTTTTTCATGTTTTAACAACATTTTATAGTTTGAAGCACTTACGTGGTTGTCCTGTATCTTCTTGGAAAACTTGTGCCATATTCATCACATCTTCAGTTAGATGTCTTGTAGCAAGTTCTAAAAATTTTTTATTATAACTATTTAGTTATTGGTCAAATATATATAATTAATTCATTAAAAATATATAAAGTACTTTTTTTCTGTAACTCTGATTAAAACTTCCAACTACATTTGATTATATTATTTTTCTATTTATATGTTGTCAGGAATCTAATAACTAAGCAAATGAGTCTCAGATACTCTTGATAAAAGATACCTTATGAAGAGAATTCTGTTATTTTAACAATTCATGTTAAAAATATCAGAAAATTCAGGTTTCTATTGAAATATTTCTTAGTACTGGGAACTCCACTGAAATATTTATTAGTATTGGGAACTTTTTTATTCTAGGAACTTCTAGGAAAAGGAACAAATAAACTAATTTTGTTGTAGGTATTTCAGTTATATAATAGGATTATTATTTTCGAACTTTTGTAATATAAAATATCTGGATGGGTAGTTGTTTACATAATGTTCTGACATATCGAGGCACAAATTCTATCTTTCTCTGTTACTGCAGTGACGTTGAAGGTGACATTGAAGGTGTTCAGTTAAAGCAACTGTAGTTTCTTTATTGATATCAGCAGAGGTAACTAGCTAAGTAGTATTCTAACTTCAAAAATCATTTACATATGATTTTTTATAATATGGAAGTTCAATTCTCTGGAAGATACTAAAAGTATTTATAGTAGTCTGGAACACCATAGAGTGCCCACCCTCACCTATTTTATTCATTTATATGTAGATATTATTGCCTCTGCATCACCTCTTTACATCTTAACTATCTTAACTGTCCGCAGGGGCAGTTCAGGTGTCAAAAAGTGGATTGAAAGGCTTTTTTTCCATCCAGCCACAGCATGATGAGAAAAAGTGTTTTTTATGAAAGAACATTGCAAAGCAGGAAGTATGCGTTTTGAAATCTGAACTGGCTCTTACCACAAACAGAACAAACAATGCAGAGATAAGAGGTAAAGAAGTGATATAGAGGGAGAAGAACTCCTTTGCCCAGAATGACAGCATCAAAAGTTTCAAAAAATGTCCTGAGGATGAAAAAAGGGATATTTGTTTATGTAATATAGCATTTTTGTTAAATACAGATGGGGAAGTTTATAACTTTTTGTATACCAATTATGTAAGGGGAAGGGAATGTATATTAGATTTTTTAAATGTATCTTTCAGCCTTCAGCCAGGGTGGATTTTTTCTAATGTTTAATAGCTGTATTAAATACTTAAGGAGGAATTTTTTTGTATACATATTTTTGTTGTTATTAGTGTTGGATGCTTGTTATTTGTTGTTGTTTTTTACTGTTCTTTGTTTTGTATTTTATCTTTGATGATAAAATAATAAACATGTTTTTAAAAAAGAGAAAAGAAAAAAGATATCTCTGGAATTCTCAAGACAGGGCCTGGTCTCCTTTCTTTCCTCCACCTCCTGAGCTCTGTAGATCTTCATAAGGTAAGTGAGCAGGGTGAAGGCTGGAAAAGGACTGTGTGGAATCAAAGGGGAGGGCAGGCAAAGCAGGCTCAGTGCCTTGGGAGACCTGTGATTGCAGGATTTGGGTAGGGGGGAAATAGATAGGTGGATGTGATGAAGCATCCATGTGGTTGGCCATAAGGGCAAATGACTTTTTATAATTTTGAAACAGGGTTGTATATAGCTTGGATGGGGCTGTTATAACTTTGAACAATCATTAAATGAACTATAGTACTTCAGAATTACTTACATAAGATTCAAGTGCATCAAAATAAAACCTATTTTTTTACTAATTATTTTCCAAGCCTCTAGTCAGTCGGTTCTGATTTTGGCCTATACAACTTTACTATCCAGCATTTTCCACTTTTGTCCACATTAGCCAACCTCATTTTTCAAAATTATTTTTTGAGACCTTGACATCTATGATAAACCAGAATTCTTACCTTCAATTATATTTTTTGGATCTTTTGAAGTGGGAGCTGTTGGGCTTACTGCTTTTTTCTTCTCCCTGTCAAAATGTACAGTATTGTTAATATTAAATCTAGATTTACAAATTCAGTGTCCATTTAGCAGAGTTCTAAACATAATTTTTACATGTCACAATTTATGTTAAAAATACAGTCATATTTTAATGCAATACCTTAAGCAAGTATTATAGTAAATAATATTAATTACTTAATTAATATAATTACTTAAGTAATATAATATAATGCGTTAATGGTAGTTTGAATAAATATTATGTAAAATATGTTATTCATCTTCAATGCTTGAAGAACAAATACCAAATAAGAACAATCACCAAATAACAAAGGGGTTAAATAGTGCTTTACGTTATGTACAAAACTTTTGGTAATTCTTGTTATTTTTGCCATTAGTTCATTAAAAAATCATTACCTTCTAGTGTTGTTTTCAGAAATAATTATGTCACAAAATATAATAGTCAGAATAGTGAAAGCATGGTTAATATGAAAATTGAGAGTCTATAAGAATTAGAGCTGGAATACTAGAAATAAAACCTGAAACATTCATTTCAACATTCAAAGTACACTGGATAACATAGATCAGTGAATAGTTCTTCTCTGTAGAGGGGCCTGTACTCTAGAATGAATTTTTCCTTGAAATCAAAAACCTGCACTCTAATATTGTTTAGAAAAGCCACAAAGAACTACCTCTTCCAAATATACTGTTATTGTAAACTTCAATAAAGGCAGTGCTAGTACTCATGCTTTATATGCCTGCCTTGCCTGCACTACCTAAAAAGTTGACAACCTTTGACTGTCAAACTCACAGAGTCATGTTGTCATCAGGTAACTTATCACAACTTTTTCCCCTTCACTAAAATGGGAGTGGCCGTGGCCGGCATGTGACGCATCTGGCCTGCAAGCTGCAACTTTGCACTTAGAGCATTAGTGTAAGTTGTTGCTCCTATACTCTCATAGTGAAAACTTATATAATTGGTTTATAACATGGGTGGGCAATTAATTTTTCCAAGGGGCCATGTAAGAAACTGGGACTGCTATGGAAAGTTACCAACACCCTTTCCCCTCCCCATTGATACTATCCCATCCCCACCCCTACGACCCTATTGCTGGCATTGCTGCCACCATAGGCTGAATAGGAACAGCTAAAGGGCCAGATGTGACCCGCAGGCCATAAAATGCCCACATCTGGTTTATAGGAACATAAACCTGTGCAGAAAATACTATTTAGTATAGACTATTTAGCAATATTGAGGGAATTAATTATCTGGGGGAACTGAGGTAGGAATAATTGTAAGAGAAAAAACAAGCACAGGAGAAAATGTCTGAGTATTTGAGATTACTTTAAGACTGAGTATTATATCAACAGTGACTCCAGCAACTGATTAGCATTGTGTATGTTTAAATCTTGGGGGAAACCATACATGCCTTGTGGCAACCTCCCTGAGCTGGGTGTACCAAATGCAGGTAATATATATCTAGTGATGGTAAAATTACTGCAGATTGTTGGGTATTAATGGTGCTTTTAAAAATAAGCTAAGAAGACGACTTCCTGTGGTGACGTCACCGTGCTTAGAGTGGAGGAAAGGGAGCTCTCCTAACCTCTAACTCTAACTTCTTC